CCTTTTATTCGGTTGAGGTTTGTTTTTTTTTTCTCTTTTTTCCCCCTTTCTACCGGCATGCTTGGGGGAAGGAAATGCTGCCCGATTTTCAGCCCCTCCCCCCCCCCCTCCCCTAGGCCATACGTTTAAGGCCTCGGGTTTAGGGCCTTAGGTTTAGGGCCTAGGGTTTGGGGCCTTAGGTTTAGGGCCTAGGGTTTGGGGCCTTAGGTTTAGTGCCTAGGGTTTAGGGCCTTGCGTTTAGGGCCTAGGGTTTAGGGCCTAGGGTTTAGGGCCTAGGGTTTGGGGCCTTAGGTTTAGGGCCTAGGGTTTAGGGCCTTAGGTTTAGGGCCTAGGGTTTGGGGCCTTAGGTTTAGGGCCTAGGGTTTGGGGCCTTAGGTTTAGTGCCTAGGGTTTAGGGCCTTACGTTTAGGGCCTAGGGTTTAGGGTTTAGGGCCTGGGGTTTAGGGCCTAGGGTTTGGGGCTTTAGGTTGAGGGCCTAGGGTTTGGTGCCTTAGGTTTAGGGCCTTACGTTTAGGGCCTAGGGTTTAGGGCCTTAGGTTTAGGGCCTAGGGTTTAGATGTATGTATATACGTGTGTATGTATGTATGTTTGTATGTATGCATGTATATGTATGTATGTATGTATGTACATGTGTGTGTGGGTGTGCAGGTGTGTATGTTCGTATGTGTAGGTGTTTATGTGTGTGTGTCTGTGTGTGTATGCATGTGCTTATGTATGTATGCATGTATGGATGTATCTGCCTATGTATGTATGTATGTATATATGTATGTATGTATGTACCTATGTATGTACTCATTTACACACACATACAAATGTATACATAATTGCGCATACGTATATACATGCATGTGTATATATTTATAGGTGCGTATATATAGATATATATGAAGATACACAAACATGTCTGTATATATATATATATATATATGTATACATGTCTGTATCTATATATATATATATTGTTTGTGTATGTATATACATACACATGTATGTATATACGTGTGTGTCTACCTATATGTAATATCTGTAAACAGATATAAATATATGAAGAATCGCCATTAAGGTCATCACCAACCTCGCCATAATTATTAAAACCATCATCATGCTCGTCATAATTATCAAACCACCATCATCGTCTTCATAGCCCTATTCTTCTTCGTAGAACCCAGGTTTTATAATCATCAACATCATCATCACATATCATCATACACATCGCCAACGACATATTCACAATCGTCATCATAATCAGCATCGGCCATCATCAGTCATCGTTGTTATCATCCACATAGAACGTCGTTATAGTCATCATCATAAACATCGAATCATCAATGTGATAGAAGCCAAGAAGCTGGAATAATTACCAGTACTTTTGCTCAGGGCTCAAGGCTCCTTGTTTTTACTGTTACACATCCCGGCGTTCACGGCTTTGAAACATGCGACAATAATCAACAACATGTTGTTACGAAGCAGAGTCTACTTAATGTATTTCCGAACAGGGTGAGAATTGAAATTTCCTATAGGATTTGTGCTTGGAATCCAAGAAAAACAAGGGTGCGAATTGTAATTTCCCATAGGATATGTATTTCCGAACAGGGTGCGAATTGTAATTTCCCAAAGGATTTGTGCTTGGAATCCAAGAAAAACAAGGGTGCGAATTGTAATTTCCCATACGATATGTATTTCCGAACAGGGTGCGAATTGTCATTTCCCATAGGATTTGTGCTTGGAATCCAAGAAAAACAAGGGTGCGAATTGTAATTTCCCATAGGATATGTATTTCCGGACAGGGTGCGAATTGTAATTTCCCATAGGATATGTATTTCCGAACAGGGTGCGAATTGTAATTTCCCATAGGATTTGTGCTTGGAATCCAAGAAAAACAAGGGTGCGAATTGTAATTTCCCATAGGATATGTATTTCCGAAAAGGGTGCGAATTGTAATTTCCCATAGGATTTGTGCTTGGAATCCAAGAAAAACAACGGTGCGAATTGTAATTTCCCATAGGATATGTATTTCCGAACAGGGTGCGAATTGTCATTTCCCATAGGATTTGTGCTTGGAGTCCAAGAAAAACAAGGCTGCGAATTGTAATTTCCCATAGGATATGTAATTTCCCATAGGATATGTATTTCCGAACAGGGTGCGGATTGTAATTTCCCATAGGATTTGTGCTTGGAATCCAAGAAAAAGAAGGGTGCGAATTGTAATTTCCCATAGGATGCTGTACCTGGATGCCAAGAAACAGAGTCTACTTAATGTATTTCCGAACAGGGTGCGAATTGTAATTTCCCATAGGATTTGTACTTGGAATCCAAGAAACACAAGCGCTAATCAGGGTGCGAGCGGGTGCGAATTGTAATTTCCCATAGGATATGTATTTCCAACAGGGTGCGAATTGTAATTTCCCATAGGATTTGTGCTTGGAATCCAAGAAAAACAAGGGTGCGAATTGTAATTTCCCATAGGATGATGTACCTGGATGCCAAGAAACAGAGTCTACTTAATGTATTTCCGAACAGGGTGCGAATTGTAATTTCCCATAGGATTTGTGCTTGGAATCCAAGAAAAACGAGGGTGCGAATTGTAATTTCCCATAGGATGCTGTACCTGGATGCCAAGAAACAGAGTCTACTTAATGTATTTCCGAACAGGGTGCGAATTGTAATTTCCCATAGGATTTGTGCTTGGAATCCAAGAAAAACACGGGTGCGAATTGTAATTTCCCATAGGATATGTATTTCCGAACAGGGTGCGAATTGTAATTTCCCATAGGATTTGTGCTTGGAATCCAAGAAAAACAAGGGTGCGAATTGTAATTTCCCATAGGATATGTATTTCCGAACAGGGTGCGAATTGTAATTTCCCATAGGATTTGTGCTTGGAATCCAAGAAAAACAACGGTGCGAATTGTAATTTCCTATAGGATATGTATTTCCGAACAGGGTGCGAGCTGGCGGTTTCAGCTGGGGGAAACAAGCAGAAGTCTAGAAAAGTGTTTGAATTCTCCGCAGATACAACGAAGAATTTCGAAGAATTTCGAAGATTTACGAAGATCTAAGAGGAATGGTCTAGAAAAGTGTTTGAAGTTCTCAGCAGATACAACGAAGAATTTGGAAGAATTTCGAAGAATTTCGAAGATTTACGAAGATCTGAGAAGAATGGTCTAGAAAAGTGTTTGAAGTTCTCCGCAGATACAACGAATAATTTGGAATAATTTGGAATAATTTCGAATAATTTCGAATAGTTTCGAATAATTTCGAATAGTTTCGAATAATTTCGAAGATTTACGAAGATCTAAGAATAATGGTGAAGAACCTGGAAGAATGAAGAATATTATGGAAGTTTACCGAAGAAAACTGAATATTTCCGAATATTTAAGCAGAAATGCAAACATTTCTGAATATTGTTGAATAGGTTGTAAACACACTGAGAAGTACCTTCTGAGAACCCTCCCTATCCTCATAGAAGATCTTCTTCCGGGGGATGGGATATGCAAAGGTCCAACGGAGATTCGGGGGGGGGGGGGGGAGGGAGGAGCACACTCGGCCTCAGGGCCTCGGCTCCCAAGAACTTCTCTGCCCTTTTTGTCGTTACAGTCGAGACTTGTTTTTGCGACGGCCAAGCAAGCCGCGAATATCTCACCGCTTTCGCAGTACCGCATTATTCTGTTGCTTCATCGCACCTTCGGTCTCTTAGGCAGTCCGGTTTCTACTCATTTCTTCATCAAACGTTCGAAACCTTGCTTCCCGATCAGAATCCCTCAGCCCGCTTGACCTCCGTACCCTGCCATCATACCCACCTGCTGCATGAGCATATCAACTTTTTAGGATCGCCAGATGCGTGATGCAAACAAAGGGTCGGGAATCTTTAGTCTTGCGGCACAAAACTGGGCAAGGAGGAGCCAGGGCGACAAACATCTAGCTGCCAAAGCCAGAGCTTGGCAAACGCATGGAAACATATGAAATGGTTAAAAGCGTGCTCCTGAGCATTCCATGCTGGGTGAACAGTTCGTCTGTACCTGGAGGACCCTTCAAACGATGTCACAGCATGAGCTATGACCCGTGCTTCAATGCGGCCTGGGTACCGTTGAGGTCTGCAGCACGAAATACCTGCGCCACCTGCGACGACACGAGGCTGAGAATGCAAAGTACCAACACCTGACCAACACCAGCCAATATAATGTACTGCTACCAACCATCGACACACTAGCCACACCATCATGTCGCTTTGCGCAAACTATCGAAGCTGTAGTTTTCACTGCGCTCCTGTGTTTTCCTTCACTTCAAGGCTTTTCGACTCGGTATTTGCGAGGGTTTCGGGTTTCAAGGTCTTCGGATTTTCTGGGATCATCTGGGCCTTTCGGAAATTCTGCTTTTCCAGAGTCTTCAGTTTTGGACGGTCTGTTTTTTCGGACTCTTCAGGCTTTGACGGTGGGCAGTCGGGATCTTCGGACTTTCTTCAGATTTCTCAGGCTGCGGCGGCTTTCAAAAGGAGGGGTGGGGGGAGGGGGCGGGATGGGGCCGGGGGGGATGATAACGATCATTCTACTGCTTCTTGGTGTCCAAGCTCTTCTTTCAGGCTTAAAAGCACGGCAGGGAGTGGACTTTGCTACCTCAACTGTAAACCGTGAAGACGTGAACCCTAGGCCCTAATTTCTGTATTACCAAAACCGTAACTTCAAACATATATCCAGAGGCAAGCCCAAATCTCCGTCTTGTCGCTTGCCCTCATCTCGGAGCCCCTGAGCCTGACCCTTTAGATAACTGCAACGTGGGAACCCCAAACAGGAAATATCACGAGAGCAGCTCTGGGGGGAAGAAAGACTGCAACGAAGCTGCAGCAGAAAAATACCGCAACGTGTGAAGCCAACAGTAACTTTACAATCGGACCTAAACCAATATTTTGTCCCAAAGCCCCTGTTGACCCTACCTGCATAAGCTATCGTGATTACCAGTGCTTTCGTGTTCTCAGACTGCACACCTTGTAGTTGCAGCCCCGGCTACAGCTCAACCGTTGACTTTGAAAGATAGCTAGGCTGGATCATGGACTCCTGGAATGGCACAGATGTGTGAGCCTGTTCTGAGGTCAGGTTGACTCCGAGGGTCTGCAGGACAGCCTCCAGTTCATTGACCTCGATGAATCCTCAGAAAGTGTCGTGCGTTCTGTGGTGCCTGTGAGGTCGACGCCCCGGCGACAGCCACGCTTGCTCAGCCAGCGGCCAGACTTGTTTGTGTCGATTGCCCTGAAGGCAGCCTGGAATTTCAGCTTCAACTCGGCCTCAGGGCAGCGTGCATTAAGGAAGAGGCAGGGCGGCCCGGATGGCAGGAATACAAACCATTTTTTGCTTCTTCTGGACATCACAAGCCGTGAGCAGCAATTTAGTGACAAGGCAAGCCGCATCCTCCAGTGCTTCTTTGGGGGGTGCCTCGCAACAACAGTTGAAACTCAAGTTGTTCGGACAACGGCTCGTATCGGAAAGTTCCCTGATTACAATTGCTCAAAATGCTGCGTCCCCCCATCTTCCAGACCTTCCAGCACAAAATGCTCATGTCTAGGTTTCATCTCACTTGGATTTGGGACTTGGCTGCGGCGCATGGAAACACCGAAGCAGCTCGCACACTTCCCTCTGGCTGTACGGCCGCTCGACCAACAAGGCTCCCATCAGACTCCAAAATCGCGAATTGGCAGGCTCCGCGCGTGAAGCCATTACAAGATCATTTCGGCCCACCCCAAAAAATGGTCTAACCAGATTACGATCGACTGCCTGATCTCAGCCCAACCGTAACACAGGCTACCCGAAACCAAGCTACCCCACAACTGCTCCAACTTAAATCTAAGATCACCTAACCCAGCTTACCGTGGGCTGACCCCAACGTAACGAAACCTAAAGTGACCCTAACGTAGGCTAACCTTGCATATACTGACCTTAGCCCAAGCGTAACCTGATCTGACATACCCCTAGTTCAACCGAACCCTGACTGAGCCAAACCCGACCTAGCCAAAGTCAGTTGAACCTCGCCTCATGTAACGTAGTTACCAAACAATTGGAAACGAGCCAAACCTAGCTTCAACAGACTGAATCTAGACTCATGCCACCGTCCACCCTAGTCTGATCTTACCCACCTGGGGCAACCGAATTCAAACCCAACCTGACCTCGTTTGTTTTAAGTCACGGCCCGTCACACCGAGCGGAGTCACGCTAAATATAGGCTCATTTAGACTAACTTCATCAAATCTCCCCAAGACTGACGTAACGTAACTTACGCTCACGTGTCCTATCCGTGATACAGCGGGGCCGAATTTCGGTCTGAATGAACTCAACCACAACGAATCACCAGCCAACCTGACATGATGTGAGCTAAAGGGACCTAACCTAACCTAGCGTAACCCGGAACAGTTCATGCCAAACCAGGATAGGTCAAGTTAGCACACTTGACCCTTTCCCGGCTTAACCTGTTAGAGTATTCGGACTGAGCCGGAACGTTTATGTTGTTGTATCTCAACATGAGCTGGCCACAGCTAGCCTAACCAAATCAACCTGAGCGGACAACATGTCTTCTTGATGAGGCCCTAGGAGAGTGGCAAAGCCTGACTGTTGCAAGAGGCCTCGGCCGCGGCTGGCTCCACAGGCTTGGAACCCTCCTGCGATCAACAGCAGTTCAAGGCAGCGCACACATATGGACCTGGCAGGGCATGCTTCGATCCCGGATGTGCAGTTATGTTCAGGACTATGACAACTCCAAGGCCAACAGTGAATATCAACAAAAAGAATCATCATCATTGTGATTCTCGGCAGTAGCAGCGACAGAGATGATGAATGATGCTTGAATGCTATCGTATCTCAACATGAGCTGGCCACAGCTAGCCTAACCAAATCGAGATCAACCGGACAACATGTCTTTTGGCTGAGGCTCTAGGAGAGTGGCAAAGCCTGACTGTTGCAAGAGGCCTCGGCCGCGGCTGGCTCCACAGGCTTGGAACCCTCCTGCGATCAACAGCAGTTCAAGGCAGCGCACACATATGGACCTGGCAGGGCATGCTTCGATCCCGGATGTGCAGTTATGTTCAGGACTATGACAACTCCAAGGCCAACAGTGAATATCAACAAAAAGAATCATCATCATTGTGATTCTCGGCAGTAGCAGCGACAGAGATGATGAATGATGCCTGAATGCTATCGTATCTCAACATGAGCTGGCCACAGCTAGTCTAACCAAATCGAGATCAACCGGACAACATGTCTTTTGGCTGAGGCCCTAGGAGAGTGGCAAAGCCTGACTGTTGCAAGAGGCCTCGGCAGCGGCTGGCTCCACAGGCTTGGAACCCTCCTGCGAACAACAGCAGTTCAAGGCAGCGCACACATATGGACCTGGCAGGGCATGCTTCGATCCCGGATGTGCAGTTATGTTCAGGACTATGACAACTCCAAGGCCAACATTCAATATCAACGAAAAGAATCATCATCATTATGGTTCTCGGCAGTAACAGCGACAGAGATGATGATAGGGGCGACGATCATGACTATTGCACACAACATGCAAAACACAAAAGGCAACGCTAGCAACGCTTCCAACATGCATCTGGCTTCGGTGCTTGTGTTGAAAACTCCAAACAACACGTGGCGATGTGTTTTGATGTCTTCCTCACTTCGTGCTTTACACTAGCCTGCATGCTGCGCCCAGCCTCTGGTGCAGCCTCTGGCGGCTTGGCGCCGTCATGCCACATGTCACACAATTGTGCGTCATGTCACTGCTCAGAATAAGAAGACCTAAGTGAGCATGCATTGTTGTCACCGATTCGGAAATGATCAAACAAGTTCAAACCACTTAAGCCGATGAATTGCAGCCGTCGGTAATTGCATCAGTGTATTGCCTCTGTCGCAGACTCGGCCGGCTTCGTGGCATCCTGCCGGCACACACGAGTATGTCATCCCTTGCCGTCTTGCTCTGGAGGCATATTCAGTGGACTCAAGAGGAATCTTCGATGTCCGGGAATGAGAGCTTTCAGTCTTGCCAGCTGTCACCATCAGATCCCAGAGTGCGAAAGGCTACCCAGAAATCACCAAACCTTTAGGCAACATCTTACTCTCGCAGCAACTGCCCTGCGGGTGCCGTCTGGCCTGTGCGGGCTCTTCAGGCTTTGCAGCTTCTGCTCCAGCCTGCAGTGCAGCCGCTGGCATCGAGCCGGCTCGTTCTGCTCTTCACGCGGCGAAGCCTCCTTCTGCTCTGAAGCGGAAGCAGCGCCTCCACACAGGCGATTGAATTCTGATCCACTGCGGCTGCCGACTCCGTCCCGCACCTGCGGATGCCTCCTTTATCTTGGCAAGCTCCTCGCCAATATCCACAAGCTGCATGACTGAGGAAAATCACGAAGCAGCTTCGGACAAGGCAGAAAAACGATCCTCGGTGGACAAGGCCGCCAAAGCTGCCGTAATGTCGGCAATTGAAGCCTTGTTGAAAGCCTGGCAAGGGCTCGTGTAGAGTGGGAAGGCGGTGGTGCTGTGTCAAAGCAGCAGTGGCAGCAGTGCTCCGGTACAGAAAGATGTACACGACATCTGCGAATGCAACCTAAGACCAACCGAAGCTAACTACTTTCCACCTGCGTGCGCCCCGGCCAATGCACTGAAGCGATCTGCACGGCCGGCACATTTGTCAGAACACAGCCTCTGCAGCCTCTGTGGAAGCGCCAGCACCTGCTACACATGCCCTGGTTTCTCTGCCATTGCCATTGAATCTTGACTGAGATTGCATGAAGCCAGTTTACAGTCTCTCACGCCAAGCGGCCCATGATGTCTTCGGAGAGGCTGCGTGGGGGCCCACGTCGCCAAGCTTGAGCTCTAGTTGCGGTATGCTGGACGGGTGGAAGGCAGCTTCGAGCGAAAGAGCAGAGCTTTGGGGTTGATTCTGAAAACGCTTCACTTCCTTGGGGCCCTGGCATCCAAGGAGGGGGGAGCAGCGAAGCCAAGAGCAGGCGAGGGACTGAGACTGTGCCCTGGTTGCCCTGATGCCTCACGCAGAGGGTGCCGCAACAATTCAATTCTTAAATCATGGTCATCATGGTCTTTACCTCGAAAGTGCAGATCGCGTTGTCGCAGGAGGCCTGTTCCAGCTGACAGTGATAGTGGGCCAAACCCCTTCAGAGGCTAGCCTCGTCGGGGAGCACGTGTCGGCAAGTGACGAGGAAGAGCAAGCCGGCGAGGTGATCCTGACTTAGACGACGGAAACCAAGGACGAGCAGAACTCCTCGTCAACTGGCTCGCCATTGCCGGCGAGATGCTGGGAAAATACCCAGGAAGCCGGTGCCCACCTTGGACTCGATACCTAACTCAGGTGCGGGACATGTTCGCCAAGCACATCTCAATCTCTGGGTGACAACCCCATATTTGCGCTTTCGCCTTCGACATCTTCGACTTCGACTTCGATGATGCAGACCTGATCGGAGTTTCGAGAACTCAAACCGAGAGTGCCCCAGAATGCGCGGCATGTCCAAACCCTGAGGAAACAGCTCCGGAGCCCAGGCGCTGCAACTGCTTTGAATTGGCCGACTCCTCCTGTAGCAGACAGATCTTGTGTCTGTCCGCACCTTGAGAGAGCTCCTGCAATGCAATCGAAGAAACATGCAGCGGGATCAAGTTATGAGGCTAACAGAGACTGAAGCCACTGGCATGTGTTTGCAGCTACTTGATGCGCTTGATGGGGTCCTGCATGCCTCATTGTCGGCGAATCTGTCGGACCCAGGGCAGCAGAAGGGACGCTTCTGCTTGTGACTCCCGACAGAGACTCGCAATGCCAAGCCAGTGATATTCAGATTCTCCTGACTTCTGGATCATAAGAGAATGAGTACGCCTTACAAGATGGCATGTATGGCATATCAGTTGTTTGGGCTCACGATTCCCGTGACCCACTAGCCAAAGACAAACTGTGCAGGAGTTTGAGCTGGTGCAAAGCTGGTGGCCAAAAACCGGCGAACTCCTTGCAGGTGTACCCTCAAAGTTTCGCCGGCTTCGTGCGGCACGATGATGAAACAGAAAATCTCGGTACCATTCCTTTTGCAACCCGCCAGCATCTCACTCGCAAGTCGCTCTCAGTTCTGATTCAGACACGAAGCTGGCGAGCCTGCAAGCGGCGAGTGTGCATGCGCACACTCATCCACCGACCCTCCCACCCCGCCACCCAGCCACCAAGAGACACACGCACGCAAACAGACAGACAAACAAACGGACGAACGGACACTCTCGCTCCGCGGTGGAAGGCACAACTATACTTGCGACAACATGAGACATGGTCAAAAGCAAAGCCCGGGGCTTGGATCTTCTGCTCGTTTGCTTCGGAATGTCCTCAGCTGCCTTGGAGGAGCACGAGGCAGCACGGCGACAGCGAATAGCCGAAGTACTCCCCGTGCCCCCATGAAAGCTTCAACTTCTAGGCATCGCAACTCAGTTGAGATACCGCGAAGGCAAGCGACAGCAATAGTGATAGCGAAATACATATATACATCTAGCGTTGGGTGTGAGGCGAGTGGTGCTAGTAACTGGTAGCAAAGAGTTATCAATAACTGACTCTGCTACTCGTCATTGCTGGTGACCACCATGAACCCGAGCATGCGCGCACGCTACTGCAAACGCTGAGTGCTATGCGCCGAAGTGCCGTACAACTTCTCCCGCGAGCCACTGATGTGAGTCCTGCTGGTCCACGGCCAAACAGTGCAGAAGCTACCTCTAGCCTGTTAGCTCCTTGAACGGGAAAAGATCAGCGATGACCTCGTTCCGCTTTGGGATGCTGGAGGGTAACACCTGACAGCCAACCAAAGCCCCCCATCACGCTACATGCACTTCTACGTGTGCTGCCGACATGGCACTTTTCGCCGAGTGCTGTGCCTGTGCAGCGCTCGCCAGCACGGGCGAGAGTGAGCAGCTGATGCCCTGGAAATACCATGCAAGTGTGACCTGCAGCCACTTGCTCGCAGTGCGATTGTGTGCGCTGCCAGGGACGCATGCGAACAGGGTCTTGATGCGTTCAGAAGAACATCTCAGAGTGCATAAGAGCTTGAAGAATCAATTGCACCGGCCTGTAGGCCAAGTGTGACTGCCAATCGGATCTGAGACCCAGGCCGACTTGTCAGCTACACCCCCCAGGCCGAAAATCCCGCCCTCCATGTCAAGCAGGGAGTACAAGCGACGGTGCCTGGAAACGCACATGAGGCCGTTTCGACTTCTGCGGTCCCAAACTTCAAGCTAAGCTGCCGTTCTCACAGCAATATGTTTGCGAAGCTAAGCCAATCAAGGCCTTCGAAGAAGGAGTGCTGCTTCCCGCAGAAAGGCCAAAGCTGCCTCGAGTCTAGCAAGAACTCCTTAGAGAGACTAGTGCCATTGGGGGTCTTGGGTCCAGTATGTTTCGGGTTCACGGTTGCTGTCTTTGCGTAACTTGCCGCAGTGCTCAAATCCCCACATGCGGACAGGAAGCATGGCAGTCAGCCGTCAAGGAGATAGACAGCAGTTGCTCAAGCAGCGCAGCCAATGCCTCATCGACTAACCCAGCGATGCGAGATAAAGCGAGCACTAAAAAGAACAGCCTTTCCCCATGTCATCTAGACGCTCGCTTTCGCAAGCATGCGCTGAGGACACACATTGGCCGCATTGGCAACACAGGGACCGCACGTCACAGCCAGCGATTCCACATGCAGCTGAGCACAAACCCCTCGGCGGACAACAACTCAGGTAAAACCGAGATGCCGCAAAGTCTGCGCACGACACCACAACAAACAACGAATAACAACAAAAGCAACACACCCGGACAGTGTGTGGATGATACGAAAAGCATTGCCAAACCCTGGTGCACAGCATGTGGAGTCGACTTTCAGTAAGCGGAGTCGACTTAGGTCAGCCACCTAGTAGCCACTTCACAAGATTGATACAAACAACTCGCGACCGATTTCGGGGAATAATGCTACATCATTGGAATCATAACGCAATTGTCCCACATGAAGCTTCAAGGCAGACGCCTTTCATTTTCTAGCCTGAGCAAACTTTTCCTACAGCTCAACTGTAGAGGTCAACGAGCGCCCGTGCTCACCACACCAAGGCGATGGCAGCGTCCGATGCTGTGCTATAGCCCTGAGGACACCTGCTGCAGAGGCCGCACACGTTTTCCCAAACAGCTCAAAAGATGCCTCAGCGCCGCATGGAGGCATCGCAAAACCAGTGCTGGGACCTGAAGAGCTCGAGATTCTTCCGGGTCTCTGATTACAGACTGTGCGTGTCGGAGCTGCGCTGGGCTCTAGCTTTTCTCAGTGTCAGACACTTTTGCCCTCCATGGCTTCTGCCAGATCCTCGCCACCACAACTGCTCAACATCATGAAGCCAGCCCGTGCTGCATTGCTGCAGCACCTGACTGTGCGCTGCAAGTTTACGGTAGTGCTGTGCGTGCAACGTCCTTATCGGAAGCCAGCACCTGGTGCACAGGAAACACTAGAGATTCCGACAAGTAAAGTATCCGAAGAGCAGCTACGAGTAGCACAAGTCAGGCATTCATCTGCCTCGCCCTCATCGTCTTCCAGGAAACATCGCGGAGGGGGCCATGCGGCACCCTGGCAAGATCTGCTCAGGCTTTACACAGATCGTGTCGGTCAGCGGCATGGCAAAGCTGCACTTGCTGTCCATTCTTTTCAAACCAACTCAGCGTGCCGATCCCTGTTTCTTACAGGGCGTCAGCATGCGAACTGCGTGCCCGACTTGGAGCATGCAAGGCAGTTGCCTGAAAGCATTGTCAATCTTATGTCCAAGACATCGACGATCGTCCACGGCATTAAATTTCTTTGGCGCGACAACAGCGCGCTGCCGTACAGGAGGTACGAAACCCTCTCTCGTTTACGATTGTGCCCAGCTAAGACAACTCTTCGCTAACAGCGTGGCATGATGCAAAATCAAATCGAGAGTGCCCAGTATGGGCAAAACGAAGATATAGTCTCGAGGCGCTTCCTGGAAAGCATCAAGTCGCACCACTCGCGTATCAAAAGCTCATGAGGCAAATGCTCGTCCGATTCAGTCCTGAATAGAG